GATTCATATCCTTTGGCCAAATATTTAGTTTCCAGATTTTCTCCTCTACTTGTTAACAATATTCACACCGCAAAAAATTCCTTTGAAGTCATCGATAAACTTAAAGATATTTCTCCACTGCATTGTATTATGGTTTCATTTGATGTCAAATCACTCTTTACTAATGTTCCAGTCGAAGGAGCACTAAAACCCGGCTTCGGGAATTCCATTTCACACATACTGAAACTGATGAGTTGGTTTCGCTTACTAAAGTCTCTCTGAATCAAACCCACTTTGTTTTCCAAAAGGAATATTTCTGTCAAATTGAAGGATAGCCTATGGGTAATCCTCTCAGTTCTGTACTTGCTGACATTTATATGCATTATTTTGAGCTGAAATTATTTGATAAACTATCTTTTCATCTTTGGATTCGGTATGTCAACGACACTTTCACGCTTTTTGATGGTAATAAAAATGATTTATCCGAGATTTTATCTATTATAAATTCAACTGATCCAGCCATCCAATTCACTATTGAAATTGAATCCAACAATTCCCTCCCTTTCCTTGATATTCTTATAATCCGCAATAAAATTGATTTTTGCACTACTGTGTACCGTAAACCCTTTGCAGTTTGTTTACCACCCCATGCTAAGTCATGCCACCCTGTTAAGCAAAAAATGGCTTCTTTTTACTATTATGTATTTCGCGCACTCAAAGTTTGCTCTTCAAAATCTTTGCTTACCAAGGAAATTAATTATTTGAGAGCAGTTGCTATTGACCGAGGATCTTCTCTCGTGTGATCATTCATAAAGCCGTTAAAAAATTTTCATATTCCCATCAAAGAAGACATTCCATTGTTAGAAATAATATTAATGACCTTGTTGTGCTTCCATTTTATCCTTCTGTTAGTTATAAAGTTGCACGGACTCTCCAGAAATTCAATTTTCAACTCATATACTTCCCTATCAATAAAATTCACAGTTCGGTTCTAAAAGATTGTGCTTCTGACTTTAATTCTTGGGAAATTTATAGTATATCGTGTCAGTGTGGCTTGAGATATATTGGTCAAACAAAAAGAGCATTAAAGTTTTGTATCAAGGAGCATGAATCCTATGTCTGAAAAGGCGAAATTAACAAGCCTTCAATAGCATATCATAGTTGGAAAATTAATCATAATTTTGACTTTGGTTCTGCAAAAATTATCCAAAAGGGTTCTTCCGTTGGTGAATTGGATTTTCTTGAGGCTTTTCATATTCACAAGGATTTAACCTGTTTAGTGAATGATTTTAAGTCTAATCGAGTCCTGCCTAACGCCTTTAAATTCTATTATCATAATTCTTTATTATTTTTGCCAATAGATGGCGTTGCCTTCTTGCGTTTTGCTACTACCGGAGGGTATAAAAAGCTGTTACAGAGGTTGCTTTCCCTTTATTTGAGGTTCAGTCTTGGTGCGTGAAGGTGCAGTTGCCCCTCACTCCCTATTTTTTGACTTTCTTGATTTGTTTGCGTTTTAGTCTATGTGTTATATGTTTGATCAGATAGCCTGGCTCAATAAAAGTAGGTGGCCAGTGTAATGCGATTCAAAATCCGGTACGACCACGTGTATGCTGATAAGACCACGTGTTTCTGAGACTCCTTTGCCAATGCTTTATTTTTCTTCTTTTTCCCCTTTCTGGTAATTTCGTTCTCCTGATGAGGAGGAACCTTCAGCTGCCCTCGAAATTGTTTGAGTGTTTTAACACTCATGTATACTAAATAAAAGGTTGTTATTGCGATTTCAATTGTCACATTGGCTAGTTTCTTTTCTATTCACGCAAAATTTCTTTATATTACTACATTTGCTCGCACTATATTTAAGAAAAATACCTTTTTCTTCCCTAATTTTCATTCTGGAACAGAATTTCAAACATATGATATTAATTTTTAATTTAAAACATTTTGTTACATTTTTTTAGAATTTCAACTAATACCTTACTTTAAAATAAATTTAATTCCCATTCTGGCACCAATATGACTTTTAAAATACCTTTTTAAAGTCAAACTGACAATATGGGCACATTTTAGCATTTAATAAACATGCTAAGACAAATTTTAATACCTTAATTTATAAGTTAAAGAAAATATGTTTACTTAGTTTCACAGTACACCAAAGTATTTAGATCATTTAATTGTCTTAAACAATTTCTTCATACCAAGTGTGCTATATAATGCTGCCTTATGAGCCAAAGTATTTTCTTGCAAATTATTTTAAAATTCACAATAATGTTATTTGTGAGGCCATATTATAATCAGGCAGCCATGGCAATTAATACAATAAACCTGTGTCTATTTCTGTTGTCTAATCTGAAATTTTTAGAAACTCTAAATATATCGACAGAAAGAGCTGACTGAATTATTTTAAGACTTCCTCTAAATCTCTTTGCCAGTATTAGAGACATAGCAGCTATGTGCAAGGTTTTTCACTCTGTATTTTCAAATAATATACATTCAAGAGTCAGAAGCTGCCATTTCAAGGCTGTGGTTTTCAGTGCTTGAAGGCAACAGGCAAAAGAACCTAGCACATTTTCTCATGGTTTGCAAGGAAAATAATCTTGTAAAAGTACACCACAAGTTTAAATAAAATTTTCATTAAACTTGAGAAAAGCAATATTAAAACATTTGAAATTTTATGGCATAGGCATGGTGATAATATACCCCCCACCAGTGAACTAAGACTGTAATGCAAACTTCCTAAAACTCCCTTTTTCAGAATATTTGTACAATTTTATACATTTTTTTCCCAAAGTTCTTCATCTTAAATTACGCTTTTTACAGTATTTTACAGGAACAAGTCAGAGGCTGTTTTATTTATTATATCTCCTTTCAGCCCTGCAGGCAGAGTGGTTTTCATATTAAGTACAGCATCTTGCATCCATACAATGTCATTAACGATATTTCACTGCTACAATTCTTTAATTATGTAATCCTGCAACATTGCTCTATACCGAGCACTCGCAATGAAGCATATTTTCATACCTGTGGAACTGACCTCTTAGAAGAAGTATGGACTGAGAATAAATGTCTCCGTAATGGCGCCACATCAAGCGGGTAACACTTCTTGAAGTATGCAAAAGGCTTGCAATAATCATATTATATACTTCCACAGCATCAAACAAGAACACATGCTGGTCCAGACAAAAGTCTATCACATGTGCATCCATTTCTTCAAATATTTTTACCAAATCACATCACAATTTGGCCTCAGCTTATGACTTCATCAAAAAACGCACAATGCTTCAACAGCATTTTCCCCATTTAGATAGAACAGTTTCATCAATTTATCTTTGTTTCCCCTAATCCCTCTAAACTATGCAATATGTAATATAAACTATGCAATCAGTATACCTCTACTCTGTATTGTCATTGGTCTTTTACAGTGCTCTTCTTCGCAAATGTTTTATGCTCACAATTTTCGTCATGCGTAATGTCATTTATGGTTTTTCAATGCACTGATCAATTTGTGCAAAAAAAAAGTGGGTGTTGCCATTTGAAAATTTTGAAATTCTTCACTGTAACTGTAACTGTGAGAGCTCTGTTGTTTTAAATCATCATAATCTTGACTGCACAACTTCAAATAACAATATCTGAAATTTCATTTCGATTGGTTAGCAGATAGGCCACTTGAAGTTCATATGTTGGGGAATTTTTTTATGACCCACTATATTATATACTCTAAACTGCAGGTGACTTCTGGGTATTTTTAACACTGAAAATGCATAAAGAGGATACAAAACAACCATGCCTTCAGTACTAAAAGGGGTGTCACAAAATTTCAAAATTTATTTCCAAGGTTTTGAATTGTTACTAAAATACTGTAACACATTAAATTCAACATGTAGAGCTTTACTTTGAAAAGAAAAAAGTATAAAACTGACAGATAAAGAGTAAACTTTTACTTGATTTTTGACATGTGGTGGTACATATAGAAAACACAAACTTCTACATTGTAAAATAATAAATAAATGTTCTAATTAAAAAAAAAAAACTAATAAGCTTTTTGCTAATTCCAATGCACAAAAAATATGAATGTTTTATTACAACAGGAAGAGGGGAGGAAATTTAAAGATAATGCCATTGATAATTGGTAATCATAAAAACAAACAAAATTATCAGGGCATTTTGATCTTGCTTGCAACTAATAAAAACATGCAAGTGTGGAAATTATGAAGGCAATAGCAAAAATATTAAGAATTATGAAAACATTTTGATTTTGCTCTTCAGCTCTTTAAAGTATTTGCAGCTACTGAAACTATCAACAACAATCGTAAGAGCTAGGAAGAACAATGAAGACCCTTCTAATTTGTCTGCCGATACTAAAATTGCATATGTGGATACAGCAACTTTTAACAGGCTTAGGAAATAATTTTTTATTATAACCATATTGAGTCTAAGCTACACTTCTTAATTTAACATTTAATTTAAGTACCACCATAAAAAAAGGACTGCTTCTATGCAAAAAATAAATAAAATGAAACCATTCAAATGCAGGAAGCAAATATTTCTGCAACAGTCGGCCTTGGTTAATTAAAAATAGCATCTAGTGCCTCAAAATTAATTACTTCATACATTCTATTTTTAGTAATATTTTTATGGGGGAAATGAGTGCATTTGTCATAAAATTTAGAATTAAAATTATACAACCATATTTACTCTTATTCTTACAATAAATGCCGTATCAACATTACCATAACTTAATTTCTATTAGACAGGATAACAGTACTAAAAGAAGATTCCATTGTCAAGTATAATGACTGACCCATTTTATATAAATATGCACACTATCTTCTTTAATTATAATTGCTAGAATCTTAGCAAGTTACATTCACTGTGACAGTGAACAAGCCATGGTAAATAATACTTTTACAAATTTTTACAAATTCTATATTAAAGGCATTGAAGTACTAGAAACACAAAACTGGAACAAAGATACAACTAAATATGCTGGAGTTCTGTACTGCAGAAGAAAGAACAGTGCTTACTCGACACGTATCAAGTCTTTGCATTGTAGTCTCAATTCTACTCAAAGCCTCAACAATTTTTTCTTGAACAGCAAGATTTTTTCCCTGAAACCTCTTCAAATCTTCCTTTAAGTTATCAGTAACAACCTGCTTGATAAAATAAATAAATAAATAAATAATGACAACAATGATTTCTAAAATAATTTTTAAAAAAAAACTATAAAAAGAAAAGCTTAGAGACTAACCTTTTCAGCAGGCTTGGAAACAGATGAATCTGAAAAAGAAAAAAGGGAGAAGATTCATAAATGCCTGCAGTGGCAAAAGCCCACATGGATACATATATGGTACACCAGACAATAATTTTTCCATTATTTTCCAATTTCCACAAAGAAATATATTTTAAAACTTCATTGTATTTGTGTTTCAAAATAGAAATAAGTTCTTAAAATTATGCATGTCCTTTCAATTACTATAAGCTTTGTGTATAGAGCTAATAAAAGTTTATATATATATAGTAGCTTTTATTATAATTAAATCCTGGATAAATTTGACAAAGGAAAGATAAGGCGGTTATTAGCCTCATTCTTTACTCTGAGCCCTGCAAAATCATAAGTTACAATAAAAAAATATTACAATAAAAAAAAGTATCTTATGGTGATAATAAAAATATTTGTTTGTGCATTCTGAAATACTATTATAATATTAAATTAAAAAAGAGGTATCAAATAATTTAGTTCATTTTTAACTATTATGCTTTTGCATAATTTAACATCATTACTACTTGAAACTTTGCATTTAATCATTATATTCATTATTTGTAAAACTTTCAGAAGTTCAAATTTTATTTTATGGCTTTTTACTAGTCAAATGTTTTTGTATAAGTTGCTGTAGGCCCTATTGTTCAGTCTATTAATACAGTAAACAGTCTTATAATTTCCTTTCTTGGCTTCTAGTGAGTTTCTTTCCTTCAGCTGAGTGAAAGAAGCAGTAAAGGCTTTCAAATTATTTTGAAAATTTGGTATAATTAGACAACCTAAAATTCACGAGCCCGAAGAATGGCCATTTTCTTAAGACCTCCGAATGCAGGTAGTTTGAGCTCAGATAAATGAAATGACTGCATGTTTGGTTTTCATGGTTTTCCTCATATGTGATGTGAATATGAGCCAGTTTCCTTAGAAAGTCCTTCATGCAGGTATCCTTTCACTCAGGCAAGTAGCTCTCATGTACTTTGCCATAATAGATAAACAATCTAACTTAAAATTTTCCTTAATGTTTTTCATTTCAGCATTTTTCTCTTCATTTGGTTGGATTGCATTGGATTATTTACATCATGCTGAAGCACATAACACACATAAGAGTTACCTGCCTAAGAGGAGGGATGCTTTCATGCAGAATGTTTTTAAGGGAAACAGACTTCTATTTACTGCACATAGAGGAAAAATTACAAACACTCTCATGCAGCCAGACTATCTGCCAATATTTAAACCCGAGTCAAAATACCAGTGCAGCAGTTTTAACTTTCAACAACTAGTATGCTGTTTATATAGTTGAAATGGGATTTAGATTATAAAACACTGTAAGCAATCAAACGTGTTGAACTTTCGAAAAGAAATAAGACTTATAAAAGCTTACAAATCATGAAGCTCAGTGCAGTAAAAAATATATAGATAAAATAAAATAAAAATAATTAAACAGAATGTAAATAAAAAAACAATCTTTCATATTAGAAGTAAATTTTAGTAGTATAATGCAAAAATATTATTATGATGCTAGATTAATGCAAATGTTTTTTTTAAATACCATATACTTTACAATACCATAGTTCTTACTATAAAAATCCTTATAAAACAGATTTAAAGTACCTTACATTTTCGAATATAAGTCAATCCGTGTAAGCCTGTGTAGTCGATCCCAAAGTGCAAGTTTTTTTTTCAAAAATTTACCCAAAATCCAAACCTATATATAAGCCAGAATGGGGGGGGATGCAACATTTAAACATATCGCCATGAATGTGAATTTGCTGCCAAGCCAGCAAAACGGGTGGAATATTTTCCAATTAAATCATTAAAAAGGTAAAATGCTGCATACCAATCACAGTTTTAACTTTAGTAATTTTATTTGAAGCTAGCACAATTTTTTCATTCATTTACTGTCTTGTTTACAATCTTGGTATCTGTGTCAGTTTTATTTTCTGTTCTATTTTATTTTTTGTTTAAAAGCTGGACAGGTAAAGAAATTCTCACATAACATACTTCAAATTACAAATGATGGTGTTCGTTGAAAATTCTAGCAACACTATGAATGCTGAGCATTTCTCCATACATGAAAACCCAAGTTCAACAGTGGAAAAGCTGGACACAAATTTCACCAACATCAGATTTTTTATTTTGGTGATGAAGCAACAAATTAGCCTTACAAACAGTTTTGAAAAAATAACAATTCATTTTATTAAACTACTTTTCATAAATTAAAAACAAATACAATATTTGGAGATCACTTGCACCTAGTTAACAGAAAAATACCTATATTTTTCATAAGATTACCAGATACATAATTTAACTTTAGAAAAAGCTAAATTATAGATATATCAAATATAAACTGATCCCATAATTTAGCTTTAGGAAAAGTTCCAAAAATTCTTGGCTTATAAACGGAAATATACAGCACATTATTATCTAAATTTTATTGGGGGGGGAAGTGTCTCCATACTTTTATGAAATCAACAAATCTGTTGTTAATATAAAATGTTTGGCAATTGTGCATTAAGTTTTTAAAACGCATCAATTATAAAATGACAAGCAGCTCAGTTTAATTTTATTCTAAAGAGAGGGGAAAAAGAATATATTTATAAAATAAATTATTTTATATAAATCTTTTCATACTCATGAAAAACGGCACAGTTATTATGGGCAGTGGTCTTACACTAGTGGCCCTCAAAGGAATTTCACATGGCCTGCAAATATATTTTAGTTACACACTTGTTGTAAACACAATTCTTATACTAATTCAGAAGTCAAACAACAAAAATCAGTGTTATATTTTCAAATTTTCATAGGACTAGTTTCAATGGTTTTACCGAACCACCATCATCAGCTGCAAAAGCGCAAATGAACGAGATAGGATATAATAATCAGATAAGATAAGAAAGCCTGGACAGAAAATAAGCTAGTGGCGCCATCTGTTGATGAGACCAGAACTAAAACATAATTTCTTTAAAGGCCGAAGGCAAAGATGGATTGGAATTAGGATTGTTAACTAGAACAGAAAGATTTTTTTGAATGTGAAATGCCTCAAGAAAATCCAGTTCTCCAATGGAAGATGTTTTTTGAATAATTTTGGCAGCAGAAAAAATGAAAGTGTGATTTTCAGACCAACAATGTTGGGCAACAGAAGACTTCCATGTTTCCTTTTTCTAACATATGCCTCATGTTCCTTGACACGAAATTTTAAGGCTCTCCTAGTTTGGCCAATGTAAATTAAACCACACTGGCAAGGAATCCTATAAATAACCCAGGAATTCATATCTGGAATGGAGTCCTTGAGTATGGGAACTCGGAATTTTATTGATGGAAGAATAAACAACCCGAAAGTTAAATTTCTGCAAAATATGTGCATCTTTATAGCTAATTGATAGAAAGAAGGGAATGACAAAAGAATTTTTATAATCTCCTAAAACAAGATGTGCCTTTTAGTGTGTTGAGATAAGAATTTTTGAATGTTGGGTGAAAAGCCCCTGTCAACAGCTATCGCTTTTAAATAATTTAGTTCTTCATCAAGAGATAGTTTGGAGGAGCAAACTTGAAGAGCACAGAAAACATAGGAATAAAATGAAGGTAACTTTTGTTTAGTCAGATGACATTATTTAAAGTGTGGTGGAAGGCAAACCAATGAAAGTTTACAGTAAACCATAGTACTGAAGTTGGATGTGTTACGTGTGACCAGAATGTCAAGAAATGGAAGAGAATTGCAAGTCTCAAGTTCACAATTGGACTGAATAGCAAGATCAATAGAATTCATTGTTGAAAGAACTTTATTTAAATCATCTTTATTACCTTCAAAAGGGGTAAAAGTATCGTCTACGTAGCGGAACCATACCGGGAAATTCAAAGTTTCAAACAATTTTGATTCATAATAATGCATGTAGATATCAGCCAGGATGGGACTGAGGGGGCTTCTCCATGGCTAATCCCTCAGTTTGCTTGTAATATTTATTTTGGAAAACAAAATGTGTTTGTTTCAAACAGAGTTGAGTGAGAGAAATTAACTCATCAATTTGAATGCAAGAGAAAGGAAATTCACGAAGTCTGGTTTCTAGACATCTTAATGCACCCTTCCACTGGAACATTGGTTAATAATGATTTTACATCAAAAGAGACCATGAGTAAATTTCAAGGAGAAATGTTTTTAACCTTTTTTTACAAACTCTATTGAATTTTTTATGGTGTAAATGTTATTGTCTAATAGAGTTGAAAATCTAGAAACTAAATATTTAGCTAATGGATACGAGGCGGTACTTAAATTTGATACAATAGGGCGGAAAGGAATACCACTTTTATGAATTCTAGGAAGAGCATATAATCTGGCACAATTCGCAACAGGTGGGATAAGCGAATGTTTTAAGTTGCTTGAAAAGATTTGTGAAGATTTGATCGCAGTTTTTATTTTTGACAGGTCCGAAGGTGAAGCATCTTTAGGGATCAGATTATATGGTCCTTCGTTTAAGAGTTTAGTGACACCATCGATGTAAATGTTCTTATCCATGACGGCTACCTGGCCGCCTTTTTCAGCCTTTGAAATGATATCAGGGTTAGAATGAATTTCGCGCATTGTAGCTCTTTCTCTCGCAGTTAGATTTGATTTCAAAGGTTTATTATTGAATTTCACATTATGAGTGATAAGATGCCTAATCATTTCTTTCTGTGAATCTGAAACTTTACCGAACTTGAAAGCTTTTTCGATAGGAGCCAAAATCTTTGGAATCGAGGGTTTACAGGGTTGTGAGAAGTTAAAATTATATTTTAGGATTCTTTTTTGTTCTTCTGAAAAACTAACATTAGAAATATTAACTATTGGATTAATGTTTACAATGGGAAGATTTTTTTGAACTACTTGAACTGGACGACTGTAAAAGAAGTTTTACGAATTTAACTCCAAGTGTGTTTTTATGATGGTTAACTGCATTCTCCGTTCTAGACCAAAACTTTTGTTCAAGGGCAATGAAGTTTGGATATGAATTAGGGAGTTCCAGATGAAGCTCATAGAGCTCCTGTTCAA